CCAAGATGCATTATGTAAAGGTACAATTCCCAGTGAGAATTGTAATTGTGTTGTATACCTACAATGTACCAATAAAAGAATTCAATACAAAAAAACCCCAAAAACCTTACACACAATCTCAGGGCCACAGGAAAGAGGCGGAGAGTAAGTTTGAAAAGGGCTGAGGTAAAGTTCCTACAATTTAGGTGGAATGGGACCTAGAAAAAAGGCTTAGTTTGAGTTATAGAAAAATAAAACTATATTTCTTGTTTCCTTAATTTGTAAACCCAGATTCAGGCTCACTGTAATGGTGGTATTTTTCAAGGGCAAATAAGAGTAGAGAAAAGAAAGACAGGTTCTAGGTAAGTATGACTTCCTAGGTTGTAAAAAGTATGGCATAATACCTGGAAAAATGTCCAAGTAGCAGGACGGTTGTGGGTGAGTGCTTAACAGGAAATAGGAGTATAGAAAGGGTGGGAAAGTTCATATCACAAAAGATTTCATGTGCCACACAGAGCAATTATAATGATACCTTGGTTCACAAACTTAATTTTTTCCACAAATCTGGAAAAGATGGCCACATTCATGTTTATGTGGGAAAGATGGCCACAGCCGTGTTTGTCACCCAATGCAAAGTTTGCAAACAAAAACAAAATTTTGCCATATGCTTCTGTTTACAAACTAAATTGTGCTCAAACAAAAGTGTTTGAGTACTGAGGCAGCACTGTATCAGTGTCGTTCAGAAAGAAATGTGGAAACACTGAGGAATCATAAAATAGAAGAACATTCAAATATAATTTAGAAAACCACTGCTTGAGATATCTGCAGAATGGAATGAGAAGGAAAAACATTGAGGCAGAAGGATCAGTGGAAGGCTGATTAGGAAAAACAAGAGAGCCTTTGTTCTCAGTGAGGTCGGGTTTGTACAGAAGGCAACATTCAGAGAAAAGTGCCAGGTCTTCACAATTTTGGCTCTACTAAGAGACAGAGAATAAAGAAAGAGGAAGAGTTGAAGATATTACAGTGTTTCTGGGAATCAGAATAAAAAAAGAAGACAAATGATTTGACGAGGAATATTTTGAGGTTTATTTAGGAATGTTTTAAATTGGTTGTATTTAAGAGATAAGGTGGAGATGTCCAGAGCAGAGAAGGAACATAGGTCCAAACCTCTACAGTGAGGTATATTTGAGCTGTGGTACTTCCTCAGTGTTACAGCTTGTATCTAGATGTCCCCCAAAGCCTTATGTGGTCATAGGTGGAGCTTTTCAGAGGTGACTGCATCTAGAGTGTGTGACATTGGGATTAAGGATGTGACACTGGGGTTGATTCATGGTGCAATGCTACATTAAGGGTCCCCATCCTGGGTGTGAGTGCTGGATAGAATATAAGGGACAGAAAGAGGGCTGCTGTGGTCTCTTGCTGCTTTGCTTCTTCACTACTTCACTGCTTTGCTGCCTTTGTCCCACCTTAAACTGTTTCTCCTCTGCAATCTCCCTCCACCATGCCACCCTGCTTCGTAGCCAGCCAGCTATGAACTGGAACCTATGCAATCTGTGAGCTAAATAAACTTTTCCTCCTTTAAATTTGGTTTTCTGGTATTTTGTCTCAGTAATGAGAAAAAGTACCTAAGACACTCAGGAATCATCTGCTCAATAATAGATGAAAAGTGCTGTGGTTGGATTCCCAGGAAGCAGGGAAGCAGGATAAAACTCTGGGAAAGCAAGAAGAAAGATATCTGCATAGGAGGCTAAAGTCAGCCAATGAAGAAGCAGGAAAATGATGTCTTGAAGGTCAAAGGAGGAGAGATGTTAAAAGAGGGTATGGGCATTAGTGCTAGATGGGAAAAGAAATGCAGCATGTGGTTTGAGTTGGGTAGGTGGACCCACTCACAACTTAGTAAGAGCACATGAAAGGAATAGGATGGAAGATTGAAAATCACTGGGGCAACAAATACACTCTGTTGTTTCAAGATGCTTATTTGAAAATGGAAATGGAGAAAAGAATTAAGGAGATTTCTTTAACAGAAAAAAGAAATTGTTTCTAGGCTGAGGGAATAGCACTAGCAAAGAGACTAAAGTTGAAAATAGAGGAGAAAAATTGTTGAAAAAAGTTCTTGGGTTGAGAAGGCATTCCTTCTGCAGCTCTATGGAGAGAAGAAAAGCTTTCTGCTGCTCTGAGGTGGGAAGGAAGTGGGAGGTAGTCAGTGGGGACTCAGGGAAATTTGTAGATCAGGGGACAGGGAAGCCATTACACACTGAGTAGATACTTTGCTAGAGTCCCTGTGTGAATGACAAAGATGAGTAAAACAACATCTCTGTGTTCCCCTTTCTCAAACATTCACTTAAATTAAATGAATACAGGGATATTTAATCTTATGACCCTTGAAATTTATACATACCCAGGAGTGGTTTACAGGTTACCGGGAATACCTATTCCCCTAGACAATTTTATGCTGACCTTGCTTAGAATTGGTGGTACATGGTAATATTTGAACTTGTCTGACTTTTAGTCAGTTTATTACGATCTTTAAATGTTCTATAGATAACACATCCCCTATTACCTGCCTCTGTGCAGACCCTTCCTGCTACTCTGCTCTTCATTTGCCACTGATCTCTGACTCCCTCAAGGTTTCTCTTTGAAGCAAAAATAAATTCCCAAGACTGAAAGCATCGAGGGGAAGCTAAGAAGTCAATTTTATCCCCTCATTTTTTAGAAGAAGGGAGTAAAAACTATATGAGTGACTTATTTTTGCATGTGAGGCCATCCAATCCAAGCAAGGCAAAGCAGGGTCTCAGGCCCAGTTCTTATGACTCCCAGTTAGCCTCAGGAGAAAGGTTTATCTTGTCTCCCTTTTCAGATTGAATCAACAAGAGCAACTTCGTGGTATCCAAGAAAAAAAAAGTCACATGGAAGTCCATGTGAGTCCATCAGGAAACCAATAAGTAATTTGAAGAGGAGGCAGGAAGAATGATTTGGTTGTTTTGTTTTCCCTCTGGTGTAATGTCAAAGCATTTGCCCATTAAGGACATTTAGAGATCACCGCAACCAGTCTTTGTCTTCACATCATTCATTGTTCATTGGCAATGATTTTAGTGAATTTCATATGACCAATTTTGTCTTTTGCAGTTCTTAAAGCATCAAATCATATGGCTATTTCTATCAGGCATTATGACACATCATTGGAAATAGAATCAAAATGTATATGTGTGATCTAAAAAAACCCAAGGAACAAAAAACAATGAAAGGAAATGGAAACATAGGGAAAATACAGTATGTACCTTAAAGCTTTCTTAATCACTCTACTACCCTGATGTACAATGTTGGAGATGATATAAGCAATATTTTAAATATAAAAATAAAACTTATTTTAAGAAACAGCATGGAAAACTTCATTTTACATTTTTGGAAAGCAAAAAATTAGCCTCATCAAGAATTTTCATTTTTTACATTGGACTTCATTTAAGTGGAAATTTATCAGTACAAAGTACATCACATGAATAAGTATATCTGAGTGGTAGGTAAGGTAACAAAAATTTCATAGATCTCAATATTTAATGTTTCTGTGGTCAAAGGAAACAGAGAGAAAACTTAAAAAATTTGTAATACAGACTCCTGCATTACCTCAAACAACGTAGACTTTAGCAAGAAGCACTCTGTATTTATCCCTAGCACCTCTACACCAGAGTTTAAGGACAATTAAAAAGATAACATATTTAAACAGCTAGTGACCTTAAATAAGCATTCAATAAATATGATAGAAACTGTCCTATAGTTGAAGATAGAATTTGTTTAGGTCTACACCAGTTTAACAGAATTGGATATATTTTAAGACTTCCTCTAACACAGACACTTTTGGGAGATAAGCAACACTTACCTCCTGGTCCACGTTTGGTAGTGAACAATTCTACTCAGTTATATCAATCATTTCTAGTTCCATCCTTCTTAATTGATGAATACTCTTTAAATAAAATGTAACTTATAGGTGGAAACATGAAAAGCTCTTACCTCTCCTGAAGTCCTATGGGCTTCATTTTGAAAGGAGAAGGACAGACAGAGGTAGAGGTGGTAGCTTTGATCTCAGGAGTGCATCGGCCTTGAGGGTCTACAACAACGTTCAGCACCTTGGGCACTTGATCAGGCTGGACCATACTGTGGCCTGTCTTTGCCTCAGGCTGTGCTGGCTGTAGGATGATGGGTGACAGGTGGATCTCCTGGTTTTTCTCTTTGTCTTGTCTCAAAGAAAGCTGAAGCCTTTCTTTTAGTCTGTAAAGAATCTAAAAAAATGAGATATAAAGAGATCCTATCATGTTTTCACCCATCAAACAGCAGAGTGTGATCTCCTCTATCCTAACCTACAAGACAAATCGAAATAAAAGCTTACTAATAAAGTAAGCACAACGTGCTAGGATGATTTCTTGGTTTTATGGTACTGAAGCTTTTTCTCAAAAGGATATACTTGGTATTTCTAGTTATGCTGCTCATACATTTCAAATATTTATGTACATGAATCACATCCTCAAAGATACATTAAAAAACAAATCTGGCCAATTCTGTAAAATGTCAGATCTCAATTTGTTACATGGAAGTTTTTTGAAACAGTAAGTTTAGAGAATGAATAGTCAGAAAACATGGGTCTGTGATTTTTATAGATACAGAGAACTGCCTCCAATACAGCAAGGAAGAAAGAAGTATTCAAAAATATTTAAAAAGTAGCTATGCTATAAACCTTAATTTTCTATCTTGGTAAACACCTACATTAGTCATCTATTCACCTCAGTACCTGATAAATACTTGACAAATAACTTTACAGAATCTATTGAAGAATAATTTGAATAACCAGAATGGTCTTCCTTACCTCTTTCCCCTCTTAATTTTTAATGTAAATAGGAAAAAACAAAAGTATCACTTTTCTGTATTCTCAGAGATCTTTCTGGAATGACTAATTCAAGTCAGAATTGTTAAAATGATCACTTTTGAACTTTTAAAAGAATTGGACTGCTTTTTCTGGAACATTCCATAAGACAAATTGTGAGGTGAGTAATGTTTATCGTTCATGTCTACAGGCCTCTCTTTTTATTGGATGTTCCTTCTTCTTTTAATGTTGACTCTTTTACAATTCCTACAAAAACTAGATGTCCTCATGTTTCATCTCTCAGGAAGTGACTCAATAGGTTAACTCATGAAAGTGTGACAACTCTTTACCTGAGATTATCCAAAAGTGTACAGGACCAATGATATCTGCATCTTAAAACACCTTAAGCCAATTGAACTCCTTGTTTAATCTGTTAGCAAAATGAGGATTATTTTAGGATGAGAGGGCTTTTTTAGAAGTTTACAATTACATTTACTCTAATTAATCACTCTCTCTACCCCCATTCACAAGATGTGCATATACTTTGCGAGTAATAATGGAATTGACAATGAAGAAAGTGTCATCTGTCGTATGTAGGGCAAATTTGGGAGACTGTCAGAAATGTAGAGTGAGATAATAGAGATATGAAGATGTAAACAAGAGAAAATATAGGAGGGTGTGAAGCCACAAGAGATGCTGTAAATGGTCAATTAAAATAAATTTAAAAAAAACCAAGTCACTCAAAGCTATCTTTCTGTAGCCATGCTAGGTCATAGATTGTGAAAGTTACAAGGTGCTCCCCAAATGCTTTGCCCTCTAATCTCTTTTTTGTTCTTTGGTACCCGGGATCAAAGGTGGGACCTTGAGCTTGTGAAGCAGGGAGCAAGCATCCTGCTGAGAAAAATCCCTGGCCCCTCGCCCTCTATTCTTATGGAATTAAAAAATATGTAACAAAAACGGTTATTAGATTTACCCCTCCCCCAAACTACATACATTAGTTGGAAGAAGAGTGATTTTGAGAATATGGAGAAGAAAAAACAAAAGAAGTCTATTAGTAAGCAAAAAGTCTTCTATATAATTACAAATAAGTATAAAACATGTTGTAGTCCAAAGTCCTTTGCCACTCATAAACTTACGTTTTTAATGAGAAACCTTTGCCACATATTTTCAATGAGTAATCTATTTCATCTCTGGTTAGAGGTCAACTTTTCAACTTAGTGTAGTATGTGTACAAACTAGTTCCTACATTTTTAATTAGGGAAATGCAGAACCTGGAGAATGTATAATATGAGTAAGGCACTGTTTAAAAATACTCAAGAGATTAAGCTGTCTGGAAAAATGTGGAAAAAATCAATGAGATTGCTGCTTGGCAATATAGTAGTTGTCATGGAATTAAGCTATAAGGCAATGATTTGCAACTGGAAGGGATTTTAGCAATGTCTTGGGACATTTGGGACATTTGGCAATCTCTGGAGATGTTTTTGGTTGTCATATTTGTGTGGGGAGGGAGAAATAGAAGAGGAGCTACTGACATCTAGTGCACAGTCTATCTAGTGAGTTTCTAAAACCCTATAAAGCACAGGAAAGCCTACCCTTCCCCCTGCCGACAGTGTAGTCAGTCCTGAAATGTCAATAGTGATGCTGCTGAGAAGCCCTGGTGTAAGGGATCTTAAAAGTCATCTACTGTAACCTCTTCTTTTCACATTCAAGTGCAGAGCACATGGATGATCTACGAAAGATTGGAAATACAAGCTACAATACAGGTCTTCTGATTTCCAGGCATCTGATTATTCAAGCATGTACTGTTTCTTCTAAATCTCTACATCCCAGCTTCTTTCCCAAAACCTCTGGAAAAGTGAGTCCAAGATTTTGCTCTGTACAGGTTGAAGTCTGGAGTGTAATTTACATATATATATATATTTTTTTCTATGTGAATACACTTTGTTTTAAAACTCAACCTAAAATGTTGCCATAGCAAGGGCAAGTTAAAGTTTTTCTTTCATCTTTTAGAGTTTGTGTTTGAATCTTGGGGTGCTTTGAAGTCACCTGATCACTTGAAACATGGAAAAGAGAAAGGATTGTTGAATGAGAGGAGCTGTGAAAATCAAACTATAGCAAGAAAAAAAGAATCAAAAGCATTAATGAGAATCCAAGGAACACAAAAATGGGATAAGGCAGAAGAAATCCTTTAAATTATTTTGCAGCTTATAATTTTAATTTTAAAATACTATAAGTAACACAAAATATTCTGTTCAGATTGGAATATGTTCTAATTTTTATTTTTATTTATTTTATTTTATTTTTTGGTACCAGGGATCGAATTTGGATCCTTGCACTTGCACAGCAGGCGGCGGAACCACTGAGCTAAATCCCTGGCCCTGTTCTAATTTTTAAATGATGTAACCAACCAATAGCATGCAGCATTTGTTCTTCACAGTTAGGTTTGAAAGAGCTTCTTTCATTCATTCTTTTAATTTAATAATCATGAGTTAGTTCTTACATGAATCAATACATTCCAGAAACAAGATGTTATGCAAAAGTAGCAAACAAATCTGTCTGATAGAAACTGAAGGCAAAGCTGTGTAAAAATTATGTCCAGTACAGAGTACTAAGTGCAAACATAGAGGTGTGCCCATAGCACACAGGTATGATGTGGCACACCTTTATCAGTTTTGTAGGGGTGGAGTTGCTCTGAAAAATGCAGGCATGTTCATCTATTCCTGAGTTCATTTGTAGCTAGAAATAGATGTTTGTATACAGAGTTATAGGCTAAAACCCCTCACGGTTTGACTCTTATGGAATCAAATTCAAATCCTTTATTTGAATTCAGACAGACTTGGATTTGAGTTCCAATCCTTTAATATTCCCATCCCTGCCATTCACAGCCACCTATTGCTTGTTCTCAGTCAAGTTAATTTTCTTTTCTGAATCTTGATTTTCTCATCAATAAAATTAAGAACCTAAAGTACACTGTTTAGTATCACATAGCAGATTTAGTATCAGTTTAGTGTCAATAAGCATACAATTCATGGAAGAAACCAATTATGATTATTGCAATTACTCTTACTATTATTATTTTACTGCTATGATTAAGAGTTATAGTCTTCTTCCTACAAAAATGTGAAATTAATTAAAAAATATACCTACTTTGGAAATGGTTCCATAATCAGTCACTTCTATTAGGAATCTAGTTTCATCTTTTTTCAATCCCTAGGGATTATATATATATAACACATTAGAAAGTGTTGTTTAATTATGACCACCATTGACATGTATTTATTGTGTGACGTTCAGGATACACCTGGTGGGCAAATACAGGATTTCTGCTCTCAGCTATTAGACCAGGACTAGAGAAACCATTGACACTACATATGGGTGACTCTTCTGTGGGTCTCACAGTCTAGTGCTTTTAATGACTCAAACGGCTATTTTTACATGATTTCTGAAATTGTTTTCTACATGCAATCTGGTCTGTAGACATCTCTAACTACATTTCATAAATACTTTAGAACTCTTTAATAAATGCCTAAGTATATTTGAAGGTATAATTTAGATGATAAGTGGTGTTCTTTCTATTATTTGTTCAAGTTTAAGAACTAATTCTTCTTAGTAACAAATTTCCTCCATCTAAAATAGACTGAATGGATTGGAATTTGCCCACACATTTTTTCTTGGAAAATTGTATTTGTGTATTTGTCGCTCCACCCACTCTACATTCACATTTGAGAGGTGCTAAATAAGTCACACATTTGAAAATGTCATGCCTGTCCAATTTTAAGCCTGGAAACATATATTCTTTTTTTGTACTTTAAGGAAAGTAAACAATATGCCACATTTCAAAAGGTTTGCCAAGTCTTACGTTATTGTTACATAGCACAGGCATCCTTCCATTACAACGATTTACCTATATAATTTCACAATAAAATTACATACTTTTCATTTCTATGGTATATAGAAAGGCTAAACACAAATAGCAGCACTTGAGTTTTCATAAATATAATTAATGTTAGAAGGAAATTTCTGAGTTATATTTTTTCTTTGCTATGGAATCAACAAATATGTGGGAAGTAGAATTGGACTATCTTATGTTTGAGGATCACAAAAGTGTAACTCAGTGTATATCAGCATAAAAAATAAAGTGTACTAAGTGTGACTGAGAGGTCCAAGTAAAATGTTACTTTAAGATGATTGTCAAAAACATTTGAATACTTATAAAGATAAGCCTATTTCAAGAATCACGTTTGACATGTCTCTAAATGTGAACTGTTGACTGGTCTGTGGAAAATTGTACCAGATAAACTTAGCTTCATTTTTATCACACCTATTAGGTGTATCGTATTTACTTTCCTGTGAACAGCAGTTCCCTTCTCTGTACAGCTAGTTCCTCTGTTACTTTTTTTTGGTGTGGTACTAGGGGTTGAGTCCAAGGCTTGCACATGCTAGGTAAGTGCTCTAGAACTGAGTCACATTCTCAGCACCCCATTACTTTTTTAAGTCAGGCTTTCATATTAAAACTTAAGATTGTGTTTGAAATCTATCATTCTGTTTCTTTAATTTATTCAAGAACTATGTACATACAAATCAAAAGTGTTATTTTGCTGCATTGATTCCCCAGTCCTGAACGTGTTCCTCTTCCAGAATATGGGAGCGCTGCCACCCAGTAGTCAACAAAACAACCTACAAGTCAGCCTTGATGATTTTTCCCCATTCTCCCTGAGAACCAAGACACAAGAAGTCCCATTGTTTCTACCTTCAAATAGATGTTAATCCTACACTTTTCTCTATTTCCCCTACCATCCCCTCCTCTGGGCCATCATCATCTTCACCAGCCTGTGGAAGGATCCTCTTGCTTCCACACTTCACCCCATCTGCTGCCCCTATCACTCTCCACTACCAGAGAATGCAGCCTTTTAAACACACTGTCATCAAGGCTCTGCTTAAAACACTCACTTTCCATCTTTCCCCTTGGATCCTCCAAAGGATCCTCCAGGCAAAGCTTCTTTCATCGTAGGACTATTCCACACATTGCCTCCTCTGCCTTTGAGCTTCTGTCCCAACATTTTCATGTCTCAAATGTTAGATTGCTCTTTTTTCACTATTCACCAATTATTTTTGCCTTCTTCATGGTACATATCTCTATTTGATTTTTTTAAAAAAATAAATTATTCTAGAGTAGATTTTATGTATATAGAAAAATTGAGAAGAAACTGCAAAGTTCCATCTATTCCTCTTGCTTTTACTTCTCTACTAACATTTGTTAAAATTGATAGAGCAATATTGATAAGCTATTATTAACAAAAGGCCACAGTATAGATTAGTTAGCCACTCTGTGTTGTACATTTTATGGGTTTTAATGAATCCAAAATGTCATATGTTCACCATTTTAGAATACAGAATAGTCTTAATACATTAGTATCTGCTGTCTTCTACCTAATCACCCTCTTTCCTCAAACTGAGAAATCACTGACTTTTTCAGTCTATGTAGTTTTGCCTTTTCCAGAAAGTCAGAAAGTTGGAGTATAGTATGGCCAATATTTGATTATCTTTTAAAAAATATTAACAATTGTCTATTTTCCTCTCCTGAGTAAAGGCTTCAGAGAACAGGGAACTTATCTGCCTTGTTCTCTCATTTGCATTCACGGCCAGCAACAGGCCCATGGTAGGTCATCCACAGGAATATGTTGTTAGAATGAATGGATGAAATTATTAGCTAACCCAAGAGAAGACAATCACCTTTGTTTTTTTGGAAATATTTCTTTCTTTATTTGTTTTGTAGCACACTTATTTAGTCTTCTAACTTTTATACTGGTGTTTTACAAATACTGGGAAAGAAGAGTTGTTCCAGGCCTAAAGAGGTTGAGAATGTGACTCCTGGAGATCCTTTTTCCATGTGAGAGCACAAAGAACCAATGCGAGGATGTGCCTAGTTACGTTGGATATGTTGGCCCTCCCTGAGGCGCACTTACTGAATCTGAAACATATTGTTGATAACAAGCTCTGCTGTGCCTCTCTCTGCTCAAAGGTTGTAGATGAGTCGGCTTCACACTTCTGCCCTTCTATCTTTGCATTTCTTTGCTCTTCTGAACCTTATCTAGTTAGCCTATGAACAACCTCCATATTTATCAGTTTATACTCTCACTCTGTTCGTATCCTTTTTTTCAGTGCTGTGGATTAAACCCAGGACCTCACATCTTCCAGGCAGTGCTCTACACCTGCACCAGCTTTATCCTCAGCCCCTCCTGTCCTTTTCAGATTTTTGAAGCCAAATAACAATCTAGTTGTGATTGACAAGATAGAGAACAATACTTGAGATTTTTTTGTTAGGAAAGAAGAATCATGTATTTTAAAGAGCAATTAGACATAAGAAGGAACCAATCCTTTAAAAATATAAAATACTAGAATCTATAAAGAATTAAAAAAATCAGACCTCCCAAATTTAAAGGCCCACTCCAAAAATGGGCATCTGAAATGAACAGACATTTCTCAGACAAAGAAGTAGAAACAGTAAATAAACATATGAAAAAATGTTCAAAATCACTGGTCATTCGAGAGATGCAAATGAAAACAATGCTGACATTCCACCTCACCCCAGAAAGAATGGCTGCTATCATGAAATCCACCAATAACAAATGCTGGAGGGACTGTGGGGAAAGAGGAACCCTGCTCCACTGCTGGTGGGAGTGTAGACTGGTGCAAGCACTGTGGAAATCAGTACGGAGATACCTCAAAGAACTAGGACTGGAAGTCCCATTTGATCCAGCTATTCCCCTGCTGGGGATCTTCCCCAAAGAATTAAAGGAATCATACCACAGTGATATATGTGCATCCATGTTCATAGCAGCACAATTTGTAATAGCTAAAACTTGGGAACAGCCCAAATGCCCATCAACTGGACACAGGATAAAAAAAAATGTGAGTTTCTAAAAAATAAAATAGAGTACTACTCAGCCATAAAAAATGAGAAATTAGAGATATTTACAGCTAAATAGATACACATTGAGGCCATACTCTTAAGTGAAATAAATAGGACACACATGTGTAAATACTGAATAGTTTCTCTAGTGTGAGAAACTGAAAGTGTAAATAAGGACTAAATGTATAATAGGTAATGTGAAATAGGAAGAAAAGGGGCAAAGGCGAAGGTGAAGTGGGAGGGGTAAGGAAAAGGAAAGAAGGGAATGTAATTAATACGAGAAAACAAAAAAATGGAAACAAAGTCTTTGTAAATAGGAAGGGATAGAGGGGTTGAAAGGAGGGCAGGGGAAATGGGAAAAATAAGAACCAAGAGAGACTATGTAAAGGCGCCAATTTCCAATGATGAATGTCATATTGTATACCTAAAATGTACCAATAAAATTAAATTAAAAAAAATAGTAAAATACAGGGCCAGAATTTAGCTCAGTGGTTCCACCACCTGCCTCCCAAGTGCAAGGTCCCCACTTCGATTCCTAGTACCAAAAAAAAAATAGTAAGATACACTCAGATGTCTGAGACACTTTTCACAGTTTTCAACTTTCTTTCATTAAAAACTCTTTTTTCTTAACCTCCACCATTTAAAAAATAAAAATCTCCTTTTTACTCAATTCTTATTCTTTTGTTTTCTGGATCACAATTTTTAGAAATATTCTTCAAAAATTTCTGACCCATAGGAGATAGCTTTGAATTCATTCTGATGGGAGGAGCTTTAGTTCTTACTACTGCCTGAATTTTGAAATAGGAAACATGCCTATTTTCTCCTGGCCTAAGGCCTTACTTATTTTACAGCCTCCCAGTTTAGATCCACTCACCTTCTGCCTTTTCAGATAGAGCCCCAGTCTTTCTAACATGGCCCCCTTCCCAGAAAAGGAAGTATAAATGAACACAATGCAGCAAAACACCTGGCAACACTGTTGACTGTGGACAGAATAAATACTGTAATATTTTTGGGGGGGCATTTAAAACTGAAAAAGAAGAAGTTTTTGAAATGTGCAAAATCAAGGAAAATGTAGCACACAGGAAAAAATACTAAAACCTACTTGTAAACTTCAAATATTATGTTACATCACAAAATTTTCAGAAGAATAAAAGAATTGTGTTCTACTTGAAAGGTAACTATTAACTTCCTAAATTTCAAAGAGCACTGCCTAATTTAGTGAGTGAGGTTAATTTGGGGTTATAGTATTTAAAATAGAAAATATACTTTTAAAAGTTATCATTGTGACATGCATAATGATTGCAGTGCATACTTTTATACATTTTATATATTCATTCATCAAAAAGTTAGTTGGGAGAAGGTGGTTTAGCTTTTTGAGGCTATCATCACCTCCTTTTTGTGCCTGGTTTTTCATAGAATGTTTTCAAGGCCATTTAAAAGTAAAGAAGTCAACCCTTCCTTTGGGAATAAGCTTGCCCTGAAAGATGTATTTCTTTTTCTTTTTAAACTTGTTCCTGAGTGCCACAAAGATGATATAAAAGAAAAAATAAAATCCAAAGTGTGCCCATGAAACTTTAATGCCTTCGAGGGCTAAAATGACCCCAGTAAATCACATTTTAAAGCTTTATTCTCAGGGTTGACCAAGTTACTTAAAACTTCAGTGCAATTACAGCCTTATTATGCAGGTCACACTTCCCTAGGTTTTCCTTTAGTAATCACACTGCTGTCATATCTTCCCAACCTAACAGGATTATAGTTTTGCTCCTGCTCTCTGTCTTTTCAACATTCATTTGAATGGCAATACATCCAATAATATTAAGCAGTGGACACAACAAAGGATAAAATATACAAAGAAGCAAACTTACCATCAAACATGTTACTATAATAACAAAGATGCTGAGAAAAATGACAACAGCATAAAATCCTTCTTTGCTCCAGATTCTGTCCGCTTCATGCTGCCCTTGTAAAACATTTTTCTTTAAAAGCAAAACAGAAAGTCCAACGTTAAATGAAAGCTTGAGGAACCGGCGTTCTTATCAGACACTAAACATAGTTTTAGCTTTATTTCATTCCGTGTAGCGAGGCATCCCCACCCCTACTGCCAGAGTGCTTCCCAAACTGACGGCAGACTACCATCCTTACACATCAGGAAATTACTCCGTCTCCTGTAGGAGAAGAGACATGCCTGATATCCCTGTCACACACCAGACCTCACCTTCATAAACGTCCCTCACTGTTTTTCTTGGCAACTACCTGGTTCATAGGTGAGAGAGTTCTGTTCTTCTCTTCAGAAGAAACTGTTTCTGAAGCTCTCCCTACTCCGAGTCCCCTCCCACAACATCAACACCCTGCCTCCGTGCTGTAACACTGCTCTTTACTTTTGAACAAAAGCTTAACAGGTGCAAACAAAAGCTCGTGATGCATTAATAAATACAGCAACACTATCAGGATCCTTTCTTCCCTTTATCACATCAGATTTTTTTCACTGCTTAAATGCAGTTTTCTTTGTCAGAATCTGCCTAAAGCTCCATCCCACCAAGATAAGTTGTTAATATGTTATATTTTATTTAAACCAACAAGGAACATCAAAAAATTCAGAATTATTTGGTAGTAGAGTTTTGCTGACTACAGTGGGGGGTGGAAGAATGGAGAAGTGTAAATAAAATATGAATGTCTCTTAGTTTTATATTATCTATTTTCTTAAAAAACACATTGACCAAAATCAAGTTTTGGAATAAAACATTAATTCAGTGACATTATAGATTTATAGTTAAAGAAACTTTAACGTGGAATTGGGTGGTCCATAATTAGGAAAACATATTCAGTCTAAATCAAGTCAAATGGTCCCTCTCATCTACAATTCTACTTTGTTGAAAGCTGCTCATCTATTGCTTTAGTAAGTGAACATATGTGTCCTTGGATATTGTCTCCAATAATGAAGACAGGAGTAAAAATCTTTTAGGTGTCTGAATTTTTAAAAATTATTTTTAAGCCTAAAAACACATTCAGTATTTACAAATTAGACAAAAATTTGCCTTAAAACATTTTCTGAAAAATTTTGTTTTGGAGCTGAATGGAATCTTGGTAGAGAAATGAGTAAGGCAGAACATAAAAGATTATTAAGTTGAACTGTGATTACAAAAATTTTCTGCAGGGAGACTTATTTATTACTTTAAGTAATCAAATTTCCTTGTTTTTTGGTTCATTATATCTTTTCTAGACAGGTGTATAGATATAAAATAATTTACACATTCATTTTAAATTTATGTAAATGGAAAATTAATGGAGAATCTGAAAATGCTTGATTGATGAAATGATTAGAAACCAAATATTCTGCTGGAAAGAAAATAACTGGGTTCAAGTGACGATTTTCTTTCATGTCTTTGACATCAGTCAGATCGTATTTTATTCCAACGTCTCTACAAATACGGCTGGAAACTAATAGAAAAGAAAACTCTTGTAGGAATGAAGCATAAATATGAAAATGAACTTTTTTTACAGGCAGATAAGTAGCATCCATTGTTTGCTATAAAAGCAAATTAGTTAAGCCTTCAGGTAGGCAGCATAAATTTGTCAAATTTAAGTATAAAGAACTGAGCTTAAACTCAGAAGAAATTTGGATAAAAAGGGGTGGTTAGGTGGGTGGAAAGAGATGTTGTGTTCCTAACCTGGCTCGGTTCACTTTTCTTTTTTCTTTCTGTAGGTCTATAACTCCCATAAATTAACATGTTCCTTTCTGCTCGAGACAAACTTGTTTTGTTTTCCTTTTTAACTGAAGCAATAATGATGGAAGAATTATTCTCCACCCTCCCATCCTCCACCCCTAGTTAGAAAGACATGTTTTGAACTAGAACTTAGTCACTGCACTTTCTTGGTAAATAGATTTCCTTCTGAGTCATGCTACTCCTGCTGAGCACTACTATATTTGTACAGAGATCTAAAAAACTTGATAAGAGCAGGGTAATAAATGGAAAAGCTTATAGTTAAGATCTCACAGGTGAAAAGATTTTAACTCATGGGAATCTCCAATCTAACCTTTGCATAGGGTGACCCCCAGTGCCTTTTGTATTTTGTCAGAAGGCTGAAGGTTCAATAATTCTCAGACTTGTGGCTGGCTCAGATTAATGCCACTGTATCATCTTTATGCCATATTTCATAATTATACTGCTCCTTTCACTTGCAGTGAAAGAAGCTGATTAGTTTTCTTTTATTATATAAAATGGGCAATTTCCTTTATAAAAATGGCTTTTCTCTATATATGATAATAATTCTGTATATAATATAATATCTATAGGGTTTAGTACTTCCTTCCCTCCTTCCCTTCCTTCTTTCCTTTTCTTTCTCTTTTCCTCTCTCTGATTTCAAATGCTAGATAAGTTGATGATATAAAGACTTTAGGAGGCATCTCTTTGGGAGAGATGAAGCACCTAGAATAGCAATGAAATGGAAATGTTATGAATTTCTGGTTGATTTAATTGACTTAGGCAGATAAATGAGACGTGTCCTATAATAATACGGCTTTGCTGAATAAATGCCTAACTTCCGCTGCATTATACACATGGTGAGCACGTGGTCTGAATGATCTAATACATGTTAATGCTGAGTGTATATTTCCTCAGCATTGTTTGTGTAGATCTATAATTCTGTAAAATAGACTACTAGCTACTGTTCCAAATTTAGATGAACAATCACTCAACTTATGAATTATGACTCATATTCATACATTGTACCTTTTACTTTTTGTAAATATTCCATGAATGTATCAGTCAATACATTTACCTATTATTTCAAAAAGGTTATTTTTTCCTTTGAATTATAAGACTTGTGTAACTGGAGTGATTTGTAACTGAACAACAAAAATTCTTGGTTTTTATAATACTAATGCAGAACTTATTTCAATAGATATTTCATTTTCTAAAAGCATTTGTAAGCAGAAATTGAAATAATGAGTTTAATTTGATTTCCCTAGTATTTGACGTATTAGGCAGGAAGAAGTATGCATAATTCTATCTTTATCATGTAATAATATTTGATTGCCTATAATATTTTAGATAACACATAAAAATATAAAAGAAACAATGTCTTTTCTCTGAAGAAACTTAAACTGGAAGCAAAACAAATAAACAAGAGTAATTTTTCTTTGTTTCCCAAGATTCATTTCTAATTATAAAAAAAATTAAGCCTATAAAGAAACAGCAACAACAAAAACCATGTCCTTTCAGAAAAGTAATTAACATAAGTTTCGGAATAGAAGTTTTGAGACAATTTTCATGATATTCTATAATCCTGTGAAGACAAAAAGACAAAGACTAAGGTTCTTTTTTTGCTGTTGTTAACATATGACCATAGCAAGCTATATTTTGAGGACTAAAATGTGGAACAGAGTTGAAGCAATAGCTGTTACAAAACATTAACCACACGAAAATGAATAAAGGTGATAAAGGTGTGAGGAAACTCACAGAATACCATTGACCTGCTTTGTGTATTTGCTGGGTTTCTGTAGGTTGAATCAGATCAAAGCTCCCCACCAGGGTGCTTTCTCACTTCAAGGGAACCAGCCCCAGCTTCCTTCTGTTTTTGTATTTAGAGCTTCAGGACAGAGGGCAATGCTTGGCCCCTTCTAGGAGTGCCTGAACAGAAGGTTCAGACAAGTATGTGCTGACTTCCCATAATGTATATTTTTCAGACTGGAGACTTCCTAGATTTCAATAATTTTATGAAAAAATATCACCTTTTGGCCATCAATAGATTTCCATTATTCAAGCACAGGATAGGTCTTGCTTTCCATTGTGGACTGATATCTCCACGATAGATGATTAAGGTAAGCTTTTCATCTTTCCTGAACTGGGGTGTGTTGGAAGACCCCAGGTACTTGATTTTAATTAGTTCTTTTTATATGGCAATATTCCCTTGGTTTCCAAATGTGAGTGACTCAATAAATTGCTGTGCTTCTAAAGCCTTCAAAATGGCATTTAAAATTAGAATAAAGCAACAGGAAAGAATGCTTATATTCTCCAAAAGCTTATGAAAAGCAGAATAAATTAATTCAATGGTCATTTTAAATTTAAAGAGGAATTTTCCTAGGCAATATGCACACTAGTCAGTCTATGAGGGGCCTATGAAGGGCCCAGAGTGAGAATGGGATTTGGTTTGTTATACTATGTAAGCCACTTCTGATTTAGATGCAGCTGGGGCTGAGGAATGGTCTGGGTGATTATGCCCATGATGACCCCGTTCTCTGGCCTCTCAGAAGAACAAGGTGACCTCTTCTTCAGGGCTCCCATGCACAGGGTGGTAACTTTATCATAGCCCTGTATTTTCCTTATCCGTATGTATCTTATTTGCTCTATGAGAGTATAAATTTATTGAGAGCAAGAATCATGTACTTGTTTGCTTGTTGATTAGTTTATACACTTATTTTTCTGACTTTCTTACTACCTAGCATGATGCTTGGCTATTTGTTAACTCAACTTTTCATTATGTGCCCATTGTATGCGAGGCACTAAATGAAGGCATTAAAGACACACATAAAATAACATGTCATATGCTCCTAAGGAACTCACAGTACAAACACAGACTTAAAGGCCAATATGGGACAAAAGGTGTTTGAACTAAACTCAGTGGGAACACAATGCACTGAGCACCCCTGTCTATGATGGCACAAGGGAAGGTTATGTTGTACAGGAGACTGATCTTGCAAAATGAAAGATATATAGAAGGACCAATATATCCAAAAATATGGAAAGAAGAGAGGATTATGAGGATAATGATATCTATTAAGTTTAGAATTGCTGAAACACACACTAAGAAAGGGCTGTTCAACAATGATAAAACCCAGCACATAGAAGACCATATACCATTTGAAGAAATACAGACTTCATTTTATAGTATTTTGAAAGCTAAAGAATAATTACGCAATTAGGAAGTAAGTCAGATTTACATTGAGAAACTTGCCTTTGTTGGCAAAAAAGACAAAAAATAAAGCAACAACAAAACTGTTTTGGACAGAGAGGCAGGGAGCAGGGAAAAACTAACTAGATCAGTGGGGGCTGTTGTGACAGCCATCGTTCAGTCATATAAAGTTGGCCCAATCTATCTGCATTCACAAATTCAGCTGTCTCTGGATAGAAAATATTAGGGAAAAACACTGTACACCTATACTTAACATTTACTGAGTTTTTGTTGTCTTTATTCCCTAAATAATTTAATACAATTATTTTCATAGCACTTATTCTGTTAGCTATTATATGTAATCTAGAGATGATTTAAAATATGTGGGAGAATATTCTGGGCTATATGCAAACACAACACCATTTTATATGAGAAATGTGAGCATCCATTGATTTTTGTGTCCATGAGAGTTCTGGCACCAATTCCCCAAGGATATCAAAGGTGGTCTGCATGTTCTCATTTTGCCAGTACATCCAGTATTCAAATTATATTTATGTGATGCCTACTCAATGTGAGGATTTCCATATATATTTGAAAAATGTAATCCATATTTCAAGTCTATAAGGGAAAACTGTATGATATATTCATTTAATATATAAGAAACTGAGGTCCAGAGACACTAACATTATGCAAAGGCAGACAGTTGATGGTGATGGTAGGGAAAATTTTTTTTAAAGTATCAAATTTAGAAAATGCTATAAAAAAATCCATGGTTCTTAGGGCTGTTTCCTCAGCAAAGGAAAAAACACATTTCCAGTGAATTCCTAAGTGTGGAAAAAAAGCATTTGATGATCATTTTGAAGATGAAGGCAGTGAGGCTGGGTTCACTTGAAGAAGAAAGGCAAGGATGTTGGTTTTGCTTTTTGACATATCTGTTTCAAGTAATCAACTGACAAACATATCTACCTGGTCTTTTAAACAACTTACTGGTTAAGTCAAAATAAGTTACAAAGATTTCAAAAAGAAATTGTCAAAAAGTGAGTCTTCAATGTCAAAATGAATTTCCTGGAAGAGTACATATAAACAGTATAAAGAGTAAGAAATCTGACCCTCAGGCAGGTTTTAAAAATTAACATACAATAAACAGTGTTCACATCACAGCCTTGTGGGGTTAGATTATCATATCATGTTAACTGTGCACATTTTTAAATGAAATATTACATACAATGACATACCTCGGGGGAGACTTCTGTAATTCCAAATTGGGATAAACTTTGGTGCAAAACATTGATGTTCAGTGAATGCAATACTTCCTCAGCTGGCAGAGTGTCAGAAATTCCTGTTTTTCGGTTTATGGGAGACACAAATAGTTCAACACTGTTCTTCTTTTCCTAGTAAAAGCAGATTATTTGCATGCATTACAGATATTTTAAGCAACTTGGGGCAATATTTTTACCATTACTTGGGAACACTAAAGAACATCCTAGAATGCTAAAATCCTAGAAATCATCCTGGAGTCCTAAAAGTCATCTTAGAGATCACATTTGTTATTCTGCAATAGAGTTAATATTATCAGTCCAAACTCTAATATCTTCAAATGGTTTTCTTTCAGTTACTTGGCACTCAAAATCTGGAATTTTATATTTCAGTGGCTACTGGTATATTTTTCATCCTACATTTTAATTTTGAAATATATTGTTCAGATGTTTCCTGAGTAATTACACTTAAGAGGCACTTTAAAATCAAATAAAATCTGATGTATCAGTATAGTTATTAGACATCACTTATGTGAATGTGAAGTCTGGTTGAGTGAAGGAAGATAGTGCTAAGTGAGTTTTAAAGTTCCTTCTCTGATTCTATTCATCTTTATGCAACACTTTTAAAAACTACCTTTTGGTAGAAATGCCTGTGTTATGCAGTGATATAATGATTATTTTCCTATTAAAATGTTTTCCTTTGATGAAATGGAGACAAACTTCTTACCATTAATAGCTAATATGTCACATACACATAAAAAACAAACACCAGACCAGAAAGACATTGGAAAATATTGTCTTTTGCAACTTATAGTATGCACTTACAGAAGATATTAGAAAAAGCTATGTTTCTTCTGGTAATACTGAGTTAAAACTTGGGTCTTTAAAATAAAACTAATAGTACAAGAAAATTGTTGACTTAGAGAATAAAACTTTTTTTTT